ACAACAAACACAGTAATCCAGAGTTGCTGAAAAATGACTAAATATCATCATGTTGATAATTCTTCCTGCTGTCAGTATTCTGTGTTCAAAGGTCATCTTATTAAAGATAAAACATTTAAAGTGTTTATTGTGACACTTATTTATTGTGAATAATCTTGACTTCCAACTGGGGATGTTCGATATAGGTTTTAAGGAATGGAAGAACAAAGGAATTCAGAGACTGAGGGACTTGTTCTCCGACAATGTAGTTATGCCATTTGACCAAATGGTTGAGAAATATTCTCTCCCCAAACATGACTTTTTCCGTTACTTACAGATAAGGCATTATATTTTACATAGTACTAACCTTAGTGAGAGTCATGAAGTCTCTCCTGTTGAAAAATTATTATTTTTAACAGACAAAGGGGTACCTGTGAAGATATTTTATAAGGCTTTATATTCTGTACTTTCAGTGATGTCACAGAGGCTTAAAGGCTCATGGCAAAAGGAGTTAGGTACAGCAATTGATGATGAAGAGTGGAAAGATGTCTGGAGTTATGCCAAATCAATCTCAGTTTGTAATCTTACCAAAGCAATACAGTTAAAAATTATACACAGAATGCATATATCCATATCTCGCAGACATCAATATAATCCTACCCTTTCACCCGTGTGCCTCAAATGCAAGACAGAAATTGGTACCCTAACTCACAGCTTGTGGTCATGTTTGAAATTGCAAGAATATTGGTCTGTGTTATCTGAAATGGAGAAGATTTTTGGTTGTGAATTGAATCTGTCTCTCATACTGGGCCTCCCCAGCCGGCAATTAATATCCAAGAATAATAGGAGATTGTACTGTGTTCTCACCGATGCGGCGAGGAAGAATATACTACTCCAATGGATTTATGAAAAAGTACCAACTATTAAAGGTTGGCAAAGAGTAGTGTTGGATCTAGTGCCATTGGAATATCTTACATGTATACTGCACTCAAAAACAGATCAATTCTTTAAGGTGTGGGAACCATACTTGAACTATGTGGAACCTGATGTTTCTAATATTATGTTACAAGGATTCTCTTGAGTGTTCAAACTGCAACGTATTACTGGGACCACAGGTACTGCATTGTATTCTCTCTTTATTTATTTATTTTTTAGATGGAACTGAGCTGGTGTCCTGTGCTTAGTTATCAGTCTGTTTGTTTTTGTTTTGTTTATTTGTTTTTGTTTGTTTGTTTGTTTGTTTTTGTTTTGTTTGTTTGTTTTTGTTTGTTTGTTTGTTTTTTAATTTACTTTTGGTTCTGAATTGTACACTTTATTATGTTATGTAATTATGTACTATTTGTGAAAACAGAAAAAACTAATAAAAAATAAAATAAAAAAAAGATAAAACACAACATGTCTGATAAAAGTGAAAGAAGAGAAAACACAGCCGTGAATTTAGAGGAAGTGAGGGTGTTGAGTCCATCGGTTAAACCAGTTTACAGTTCATTCATCATGAATATCATTCAGCTCGAGCTTCTTCTCCTCACAGCTGATCTCTCTCTCTTCTTGTTGTTCTTTATGGGACTCTACACAGAAATGTACTGAGGTATATACTGAAGTTAGCTGCAGCTTTCTGTCAGTGAAACAGTCAGATATTATATATTCATAATTATATGAACACATTGAGAACAATAAAATGTTGATAACTTGTCACCTTTCAAGTTTTATTCTCTTTAGTTTGGTTTCAGGATTTCATTCATTACAACATTAAAAATGTGCAGAATGGGTCAGAGGCCAAAGTCAGAGCCAGAGACGAGCAGCAGAGACGTCCCACAGGCCTGAATGCAGCCACGAAAACGTTAGTGCCTGAAAGAAAACTGCAGCTCCAAAAGTGAGAGGATTCCAACAAACTCCCATGTTCAGATGTTTCACTCAAATAAACAGGATTTCAGCCTTGTATAATCCCTGCAGCTTTTTAATGGAATTACCTGACAGATGATAGGATGTGCCGGGTGACCACGAAGGCAAATTCAATTGTGTGATTTTAGTTTTAGTTTTTACAGCTTGCCAGCTGTTGCTAATAACTTGGCACTTCACTGGCGCATCCAAAAATCCAACATGGCAGGAGCCAAAAATGCCAGTGAGTTATAAAAAACCTCTGAGTTCAGAAACCCATTGCTCAAGGTGGCTGTGTCCATCCTTTATATACAGTCTATGAGCAGTGCACACAAAGCTCCAAGTTTAAATGTCCCAGATATTTTATCATCAGCAACAACATCTGCCCACAACGCTTTCCAGTGTTTCTTCAGCTGAGCACAATCACCCACAACTTTTTTTCTGCCTCTGCTAAACATATTCTGTATGCCTTATTTTAGTTTCATTACTTTCATTCTGAAAAACATCCTCAGTTTACATTAACTTTGTTTTTATTGTGTGTAAAAAGAAATGAAACATAAAGTCAGTATTTATCAGGCAAAAAGCAATAAAAGCAGTTATTATAAAGTGGTACAACAATAAATGGACATTATACATGGTTTATGTGGTTTAAAGTGTTTCTTGATTATGATTCAATGCAGAAAAAAGCCCAAACTACATTTTCCCGCCTCATTCAACGGAGCAGGTGAAAACCATACAAAAAAGATCATTAAATTTAATTAAAGTTAAATCTGCATGCAAATCATAATTTCAAATCATCTTTAAGTATTCTAAAATATCACAAGAATTCATATAAATTAAGCCTTAATAAAAATATACATTTTGGTGAAAAGGAAAAACACCCTACCCAGGGAAGAAGACTAGATTATATAAACTGATGTTCAATATATCTGCAAAATGACAATCATAAACTACTCCAAAACTCAAAAGTACAAAAGTATACCCACCCGCCTCTCCAAGGGTGATTTTAGAAAATAATTTCCCATCAGTAAGGTGATATTCTATGTCCCTATGTCCCTACACCCATTTAAAGCAGCAGGGGATCAAACCACCAAGGACTCCACCGCTGACTGCTGCCCAGACCACAACACACTGGACCCCCTTGGCCCCAAGACAAGGTCATCGGGAACCTTTATATAACCAATTGCCAAAGTTGTTTGAAGCCCTCATGAAGCCAACAGCCAACAGTTACTGTTGATGTGATGTTCTTCTGCTTCCTGTATCTGTGGGCATGATGTTCGCTCTGTGTTGTAGCGTCCTGATGACACCCAGTTTGTGCTCCAGTGGATGATGAGTGTTAGGTCTGCACTCACAGGCTTCGGTAGTTCAGAGACTTATCCCCATGAACAAAGCAAGACAATCAGAGCTCAATCCATTTTGACTTGCAAGGGAAGCTCAGTCGGAATCTCAGAGTTGTAAGCTCTGCACCTGATCCCTGACAACTTCAAATTCCAGCCTTCCCTTGCAGCCTTTTTAAATCAGTGAACACAGTTACACAACCCCCCATTGTAAAACCCATATGGTGTGTCATAAAAGCTAAGCCACTGTGTGTGTGTGTGTGTGTGTGTGTGTGTATATATATGTGCGACCATGTCAGTGCATGTGTATGTGTCTCTGTATATGTGACTTCCTGGTTACAACCATTTAACATTTACGGGCGATCATGGCTCAAGAGTTCGCAGTTCGTCTTGTAACCGGAAGGTCACTGGTTCGATCCCCGGGCTCTCCGTCCTGGTCGTTGTGTCCTTGGGCAAGACACTTTACCCTACCGCCTGCTGGTGTTGGCCAGAGGGGCCGATGGCGCGATGTGGCAGCCTCGCTTCTGTCAGTCTGCCCCAGGGCAGCTGTGGCTACAACTGTGGCTGCCTCCACCAGTGTGTGAATGTGAGAGTGAATGAATAGTGGTATTGTAAAGCCTAGAAAAGTGCTATATAAATGAATAAATAAATCCATTATTATTAACAACATCTCTGGTCATAAAAGCGTCATCTCACACCACCCCATATACGGCTTAACCCCTTTAACGGACCACCATATAAAAAACGGTAAATGGCCTGTATTTGTATAGCACTTAGTCCTTATGGACCCCAAAGCACTTTACACTACATTCAGTCATCCATCCACACACTGGTGATGGCAGCTACATTGTAGCGCACTGACAGAGACGAGGCTGCCGGACACTGGCGCCACCGGGCCCTCTGACCACCACCAGTAGGCAACAGGTGAAGTGTCTTGCCCAAGGACACAACGACCGAGACTGTTGGAGCTGGGGCTCGAACCGGCAACCTTCCGATTACAAGCAGCAGCAAAAGAAGATCCAAACTACACTTCACATAAACATCGTCATGAATTCCCTCTGACTTTTGCTCTTTTGCTTCCACCACTTTGTGCACAGCTCTCTCTCTGTACTTCAAGAACAGTTTCCCATCAAAAATCTGTTTTCTGCATTATTCGCTTGCTTATTACACACCAGTCTACTGTTGTCTACAGCACTGTTGGCCGCTGTTTTATTTTGTTTTTTAATGACCTCCACGCCTCATTTCCACTGTTCAATACTGAAGAAATGTAAACTTTTTAAAATGATGCCAAATTGCAAAATGCTCAGCTGTGTCTCTATAAAACCTCTAACTTTGCTCTGCTTCACTTCAGCAGCATCAGGTAATTTTCATATGTTGATTAATGGTTTTATTTTGTTTTTGATCTATTGCAGAATATTTTTAAGGTCATCTGCTATAAAAAGTCAGGTCAGGAAAATCACCTTCATGTTTTTCTGTGTTTATCCTCAGTTACTTTGGCACAAAGGCATCTGCTGTGATGCTCACACCTCTGAGGTTATTTAGACCAAAATACTACATTTTGCTCTACAAGGGCCTGATGTCCACTTACGAGGACACACTGCCACTGTTCTATGGAAATGTAAAGCGAATGTCCTCATATGTGGATCTCATTTTTCTCAGAAACAAAAATCAGGTATAAAAAAAATATCTTGTTATTCTTTTTTTTTTATATATACATTCATCAGGTCCCAATCAGCCCAAATAGCAAAAAGAAAGACTTAGAAGGATAAAGGACATGAATGTCTCTCTTGATGTCTGCAGTTTTGCTCATGAGACAAAGCAGGGCTGTTTCTTGTCTGTAGTCAGAAGTTTTTCTTTCAGCGCATTAATTTCTGTTTCGTGTTTTTTCTGCATTTCTTCCAGTTCCTTCCTGGTACTGTCGTCATCTTGGGTCCCGAGTTTCTGTTTTAGTTCATTAATTTCTTTTTCCTGTTTCTTCTGCAGCTCATCAAGTTGTTCTTTCTCATTTTTTTCATTTTCTTTCAGAAGCTTTTGTTTGAAATTGTCCAGTTTTTGCTCGTGTTCTTCTTTTAGTTTACCCAATTTTTCCTTTTTATTTTGTTGCTGCTTTGTTAAAAGAGTTTGCTTCAAATCACAAATTTCTTTTTCATGTTGGATGGACAGCTTTCTCCTTTCTGTCTCCCAGTCGTCTTTGTTTTGGGTCAAAAGCTGTTTCCTGAATCCTTTCATTTTTTCTCTTTGTTTCTTCTTTAGTTTGCCAATTGCTTCCTTCTCTTCTTCCTTTTTCTCATTTGAAAGATCCTTTTTAAGCTTCTCTTCCTCTTTTCTGTGTGATTCCTGCATACTTGTAATTTTTTTCTTGTTTTCCTGCTTTTGACTCAGGAGCATCAGGACTAAATCAGCCATTTCTGATTTATGTTTACCCTGCAGAACATCTATTTCCTGCTTCAGACTTTCTTTGTAGTCTGACAGATCCTTTAATCTTTCATATTCCTCCATTTTTCCCAGCAGGTCTTTCTGATGTTGCTCCTTTAGATCCGTCACCTCCTCCATGAGTTTTTCTATCACAGCTTCATTTTTTTCTCTGAATTCGTTGAACTCTTCAGCTGTTTGTCTGGCCTCTTCTTTAAACTTCTCCATGTCTTCCTGCATGCTTTCAATTTCTTTCTTATAGTTTTCCTCCAACTCTTTTAGTTTCTCTTCTTGTTCTATTTTGATTTCATCCTCTTTTTCTTTTTCACGTTCATATTTGTCTTTTTCTTGGTTGTATTCTTCTTGGAGCTTCCTGAGTTTCTGCGCTTTCTGTTCATCATCTTGGTTTTGTTTTTCTTTCAGTTGATCCTGCTCTCTTATATTTTCTTTGTACTGTTCAAGCTCGCTGTTAATCATTTCCTTTGATTCTGACTGTGATTGTAGTTTTTCCTCCAGTTCTTGAATTTTTTGTTCCCATCCTCGTCTTTTAAGTTCTTCTGTTTCTCTCTCTTTCTTTCTAGTTTCTAGTTCTTTCTTTCTCTCTTCAGACTGAATGTGGATGCTGTTCTGTAACTGTCTGAGTTGCTCATCTCTTTGTTCATTTTCTTCTCTTTGCTTTTCCATTATTGCTTTCATTGATTTCATTTCTTCCTGGTGTTTTCTTTCGAGTTCCTCCTTCTGTCTCTTCATCTCTTCTTCCTTCTCTTTCAGCAGCTTCTCCATTTGTTTCTTTATTGCTGCTTCAGCTTCTTGCAGCATCTCATTGGTGAAGCATTTTCCTCCATTTTTGTTCAGCATGGTTTCAATCTTTTTTATCAGCTCACTGACTTGTGTGTGGTTTTTTTTCTCATGGTTTTTGAACACATGGTATCTTGCTTCACAGTGAGTGATTAGATTTTTAAAGGAATCCTCACATGCATGTTTAATGTAGTCTTCAATAGACTGTTCATGATGTTCGAGTGTATCTCCTCCTGTGAAAAGAATGATGGTGAATTTCTCTGAATTTTTCCCAAAGACTTTCTTGATCAGCTTCAGAGTCTCCTTCTCCTCTGGTGTTAGTCGGCCAATCTGCAACACCAACAGGAAGACATGTGGTCCTGGAGCCAGAAGACTGATGCACTTACTCATCTCCTCACAGACCTCTTCATGTGACAAAGTCGAGTCAAAGAGTCCAGGAGTGTCGAGCACGACAACAGGACGACCGTCCACGTCACCCTCTGCTTTCTGACAACATTTGGTAACAGATGTCTGGCTTGCGCCAGTTTTGAACTCTTTTCTTCCTAGAATGGTGTTTCCTGAGGAGCTCTTTCCACTGCCGGTCTTTCCGATCAGCACAATTCTCAGACAGTCTGAGCTCTGCTTCTCTTCCTCCACTGTAAGTTAAGAATACATAGTTATTGAAAGGTAATTCTAACTCACTTTAATAATCTTTCAGTACCTTCTAATTTTTCACAAAAAAAAACAACTAAACAATAAAAACTGTAAAACATGGCTCAGTGATGACAGGGAACAAAGTCAAAACTGTCACCCAAGCGTACACCATTTGTCCTATTTGGAAACATAGCAAGTGAAAAAAACAAAACACATATTCTTTTCCTTTTAGCTCACAGGTCAGGTTCGGTATTAAAGACCATGTAAAAGGATTTCAAAAGGTTGTGGCCAAAATCCACTGAGGCATTGCCAGCAAAATGTTTACCAACTTCAGTGCCGAGATCTCATAAATACACCCTTACACTTCCCCAGGAACTCAGAAGACAAGTAGCAGCCATTTGCTGATAATCAAATGTGCTTGACTGACTTGATCATCAGCAGGTAAGAGCACCTCTATAAAAGCAACGGGTTTGGCAGTTTGCTGGTCATGAGCATTCTTCATGTGTGTGTTAACACAATGCTGAGGAGGAAAAACATTAGCATCGACTTCAGACTTTCTGCTCATAAACTTGCAAAGTGATTTTAGGCCCTTTCCAAACAATTTAATGTACATCATTCTAGAGTGAGAAACATTATTCACATGTGGAAAATATTTAAGACTGTTTTCAAGAACACAGTAGTACGTAGTAGTTGCAGCTAAACAAACCAAAAACTTATGGAACAATGTGACCAAAGCAAAGATGTATGGCCATAATGCACAAAACTCCAAACCAAACACAACATAAACTCAAAAAAATGACTCTTTGAATGAACATAAAAAAAATCATGGAAAGAATTTCCCTGTAATTAAATTGTGTTATTTTAGCATTATGCAATTCTGTTATTCCAACTTAATGTACTTGAGTTGGAATAACTTGATTAATTAATGATGAATCAACTGTTTTACTACAGTTGAGTCCAACTTGATCCAACCCATACAAATTACGTTAGTGCAACAAAAATGCTTAATTGTAATAGAAAGCCATTTATTAATGTGGAAATCCTTTCCATGATTATTTTAAGTTAATTTAAAGAGTTATTTCTTTGGAGTGTTCAACAAAGTCTAGAGTCTGGTTAACAAAATGTTAATGGATTTATAATAACTTCCACTCCATCCATCCTGTTATCTTTACCAGGGTTGCTGGCCTATGACCCTATCCCAGATGTGAAAGGGTGTGAATGGTAAATGGCCTGTATTTGTATAGCACTTTACTCAGTCCCTAAGGACCCCAAAACGCTTTACACTACATTCATCCATCCATCCATCCATCCATCCATCCATCCATCCATCTTCATCCGCTTTATCCGAGGCCGGGTCGCGGGGGCAGCAGC